AGGGTGAGGTGGGGGGCAGGCGGTAGTTGCTGCTACAACCCCAGGTAGGGGCTGGAGCCTGGGACACAGCAACTACTTGCTGCCCTGCCCCCCCCACACTTCATTGCAAGACAAGGGGCTTTTCCCTCTGTGTTAAATGGGGCGGACACCTCATCTTAGAATCAAGTAAATACGGTAATCCGGGCTGAGTTCTTCATGGCAATTTTTAAACATAGATCTTGAAAAGAAGTTTTTCTGCTTTCATGTAAACCCTTTAATCTGATCGATTCACCTTTATATATAGCATTGCATAAAAACACCTGCCCTTACTTGATTTGGTTAAGTATACCAAGCGAGATAAACACTCTGCAGTCAAGCATGGGGTTTTAAATTTCCTTTAGTGACCTGTCTGAAGTTGATTGGTCCTTTATAGAGCAGACAAACCTAAATATTGATGTGAAGGAACTTAGTTTTTTCCATTTTTCCATTTGCAGGCTATGAAATCGCCAGAACTCAAGGAGCGCTTGGAAGAATCTGAAAAACTGATCCAGGAAATGACTGTGACCTGGGAAGAGAAATTAAGAAAAACAGAGGAGATAGCACAGGTTTGCATCTCTTTGACAGCTGAGAAAAATACCCATCACTTCCTTTGGTTGTCACTTCATAATGGCTGTCAGGATAGCTCTTTGTATTTTGTGGGTAAATAGGCCAAGTTCATTGCCCTTTTTTACAGGGCTTCAGCTTAGTTCCTGGGATAGCTGGATGCATCACAGATTACTACTCTGGAGACAATAATAAACCATCAGGCTGTATGCAAATTGAGAACTTGCTTTAAAAAAATATCCATGGATGAGAGGATTAAGGGGGATTTTATGCCCTTCAGACAGTGAAATTGACTGTGATTAGAAGCGGAGTGCGAGTGTATTAAATGCAGGGTTATGTGATGAATGCCACAAATAATAAAGACAGGGGCCATTCTGAATATTAAATCATGGACCTAGCCCTTTTTGTTGTTTCTATCAATTCAAAATCCTCTGTATGCCTTAATCCCCTCTGTATCCTTGATATTTAGAGCCTTCCGCACATAACCATTAACAATACTTACGGTAAAATGTTCAAGTCAACATGAATGTTGCATAGCAGTTTCCTTCCTGCCACCCGAATGTTGGTGTAAGCACTTGCACTCTAGGGAAGAGTGGGGAGTGATTAAATGCCGATGTATAGAGCATGATAAATAGTCATGAGACGATAGAGATAAGAGCCCTCTGTTACAAAGCATTTGTGTAGGTGACAGTAAGAAATGAGGTTAGCTTGTTGGTTGTGGCCTCAAAGACTTGCTGGATGGAATATTATTTTATCTTTATTTTTTCTGTCTTCTCTTTCATTCTTGACCTCTTGCAATGTTTATGGAGCTAGGAGCCTAATCACAGTTGAAGAAAAAATAACGTGGGCAGTGGACGTATTAGAACTAGTGCTTGTGCCCTGCTAGGTTGAAAATGTTTGCTAGACTTCCTCAGATGGAAGTGAATTAGTTTTGGTCTTGTGATTTCTCTCCAAAGAAAAAGAGAAGTGTAAACTCCCAGTTATATTAGAACATTTAGTGATTGTCCTGGCTTGCTAAATATAAATACATTCACTGCTGCTGCTTCTGATTTTTAAGATTCGGTTTTCTCTCAGGTCTAATGAAGCCACGCTGTGAGTTTATTTTTTGTAAAATGGTACTGAAAGGAACGTTCATTTAATAATATAAAAAAATGCAAAGTGGAAGGAATGTTTACATTAGACTCAGAAGCAACCCCAATTATAACATTTTTTCTCACTCAGGAAAGCAGAAATTAGTTGTGTTGGTGGAGGTAACACCTCCCCCCCCCCCCCCTTCAAAAAAA